TTTTTCTTATTTATATGGTGGATAACGTTGATTGCTTTTCCAATGTTGAAGCATCGTTGTATCCCTGATATAAATCTTACTTGATCATGATGTATTATCTTTTTGATGTGTTGCTGAATTCTTTTGACTAGGATTTTGTTGACAATTTTTTGCATCTATGTTCATGAGGGAAGGAAATGCATTTTTAAAATGAAAAAAAAAAAAAAAAGTTTTTTAGACAGATTGCCTTTTGCCTTTAGACTTAGCAGATGATTATGAGTTTAGAGTATTATAAATGTCACCATATTGTATAAGGACCTAATGGATGTTCCATATAAACCTTCAGATGCTGAAATTAGAAATCTAGGTATCATACTTTATAAATATTGTAAAATTGAATTCCATACAATGAATGAATCATTTGGGCATATTGGTATTTATTTCTTATTTTATATTGTTCAGTGTTGAGTCGGGTTCCAACTCAAAGCAACCATATATATATGGTTTAATAGAAACCATTTAACGGTAATTTTTATGTCAACTGTTAAAACGATAATAATTTATAAAGCTTCTAACCAATGCCATATGAGGAGACTAAAGACAAAAGGATTGGCAAAGCCAAATTGCATGTGTCAGCCTGATCTAGTAAAATTCTGTACCAACATAAAACTCAGTACTTTGTCTTGGGCACATAGATGACATGCCACACTCTCTCTTTAGAAATGGTGCTCTCAAAGCTAAGAAATCTCAAAGTTCATTTACTTGCAAGTCTAGCCAGTGGAATCTCACTTCTTCTCTAACTCCCTCTCCCATTACTTGCTCTTAATATCCTCTTTTCAGGCAACTTTATAGGAATCTCAAATAGTAGGACAAATAGTCAAGAACTAGAAATATTTTGTAGTTCTTTGGAAAAAGGTACTTTGCTTCAGTGTCTGCTGGAATAAACTCTAGTTGTCTAACACAGAATTGTTTGTGATGTAGGAATGTTTAATGTACAGCAGAATGTATCTTTATTACTCTTTTGTGGCCTGAACAATTTTAGTGAAATTATGGCCTTGTGGCCATGGGGCTGCTAGAGTCCTACTTGATGGCACTTAACAACATCATTCACTGAATGAAAGTATTCCTTTCAGACAGTTGCCTCATTCCTCTATACTAGTCAGGTAGTGGTCCCTATACAATGATACAGCCTTGTGGATTTGTGCACATAGTTGACAGCTTAAAAATTCTTTGAAAGCAAAGATTAAAGAAATGCATTATGTTTTTGTTTCAAAACCTTTGAACTAAAAGCCAATTTTAATTGACTTACTTTTTTACTAAATTAAATAGTACTTTTTGCTTTGTTTTTAAATATAAAGAGGTAAGAAATTAATAAATGGGCCGTAGTCCTGGTGTGATACTGTATGAAAAGCACTGGACTGCTAACTGCAATGTTGGAGGTTCAAACCTAGTAGCCACTACTTGGAAACCCTATACAGGGTCGCTATGAGTTGGAACTGGCTCAGTGGCACTTAACAATGATGTCCAGTCAGAACCAATGTCATCATTTGTTTTCTAGTTGTACCTTTGTAAGGTTAGAAAGTGTAAACAAGACATAAAGATATACAATATGTAATCACCATGGACAATTTCTTATTCCCTCTATGAGTGAAAAATGCCTCTCTCTCTCTATTTTTTTTGATTATTTGATTTTAAAATGTAAGTGATCACACTAAGCAGAGTTTTGCGCCTTGTTCTTTCAGTTTGATGTATTTTGTTAATTTGCCTCTGCTGAACATATGTTGTTCTTGTTAAGTGCTGTTGAGTCGTTTCTGACTCATATCAACAGTGTATAGGCTTTCCAAGGAGCGGCTGGTGGGTTTGAACCACTGATCTTGTGGTTAGCAGTCCAGTGCTTATCCTACAGTGCAACACCAGGACTATGGCCTGTTTATTGGCCTTTTATTTCTTTATTAAAGTAGATACATAGTATTTTGAAGGAGCTCTGGTAGCTTAGTGGTTACGAATTGAGCTGCTACCTCAGGGTCAGCAGTTTGAAATTACCAGCTGTTCCACGGGAGAAAGATGAGGCTTTCTGCTACTGTTACAATTTACAGCCTCGGAAACCCTGTACGGGGTGGCTATGAGTTGGAACCGACTCCAGGGCACATAACAACAACAAAAAATATTTTGATGTGCCACTGTAACTAGTTCTTGTAGATTAACTCTGGTTATTTGAGGGTTTTGCTGTTACTTTATATACAGATGAGCCTTTGTGAATATATCCCTAGGGTAGTCTTAACAGTGGTGAGAAAAAAATTTATGCCCATTAAAAAATTTTATTTGTTGCATAACTGTACTGAAAAACTGTGCTGATCTGTACAGCCCCCACCCGCAGGTGCTGTTGATGAATCTGTTTTCTCACACACTTGCCTAAACTAGCAGGTAGTTGAATTTCCCGCTTCTAATCTGCTGGGGGAAATCTCCTGGTTTCATTTGCATTTTTTACTTATGGTATGAGACGGAGACTCATTTTGTAATTGAGTTGAGTCCTTGGGGATTTGTGCAAATGTTTTGGTCAATTGTGTTTTTTTTCTTAGTAAACTACATGTTTATATCCTTCACCTCTTTTTTTTTTTTCTTTTTTAAGGTTTTCCTTACTGATTTATACAAGTTCTTTAAATATGTCATTTTTGTTGCAGATATTTTTCCAGTCTATAATTGTTGTACTTTGCTTATGGAATCTTAATGAATATCTAATTTTCACATAGTCAGATTTTTCCTTAATGACTTCTCTTAAGTCTCATTGAGTAGGTTAACTTTATCTATTATAATTTATAAAGGACATTTTGCATTGTAGTACAAGATAATTATTTGCTTATAGCAGAAAATATTGTCATGTATATAGTATTACAGAGTTCTGGTAGCTTAAGGGTTAAGTGCTTGGCTGTTAACCAAGAGGTCAGCAGTTTGAACCCATTGGCCATTCCTTAGGAGAAAGATGTGACAGTCTGTTTTCATAAAGATTATTGGTGTTAAGTGCCATCAAGTCAGTTTTGACTTAAAATGACCCTGTATAAGGTTTCTGAGGAGCAGCTGGTGGGTTTAAACCTCAAACCAGTGCTTATCCTACAGTACCACACCAGATTACAGCCTTGGAAATCCTACAGGGCAGTTCTTACTGTCTTGTTAAGTGTCGTCCAGTCGGTTCCGACCCCTAGCGACCCTATATAGGGTTTCCAAGGAGCAGCTGGTTAGCTTGAACCACAAACCTTGCAGTTCAAACAGCTTTGCAGTCTGGCGCATTAACCCACAGTGCCACACCAGGACTCTGTCTTACAGGAGTGCTATGAGTTGAACTCTATGGCAACAGGTTTGTATAGTACTATCGTTCATGATGATATCTTCTCTTTATGTATATAGATCAAGCTTCTGAAATTCAGGTGACAATGATGCTCACTGAAAGTTGTAAGCTACGAGGTCTTCACCACAGGTGAGAGGGAAGCCATGGTAACATTTTATGCTTCATTCTTATTTTAAGAACGCTGTGATGAGTTCTGAATTGAAAGCATTTTGGAATAGCTTTAAAACATAGTAAAATATAAAGAAAATAAAATATAAAGAAAATAAAAAAAAAACATCGAGTAAACCCATATCTGGATAACCAAAGCTGAGCTTTCTAGAAGTAATTTGTGTATTTATGTGCATCTTGCTTCTTTTTTTAAAAAAGGGCTCAATTATATGCATACACTTAAGAATTCTTATATTGAAAGCTTTCAACATACGGAACACCAAAGACAAAGATAATAATGAAGGAACTTTTACTTATTTTTGAATTTTGTTGGTGATTTCATTTATATTGAAAATAATTTGAGGGCCTTAAAGGAAGGTGGCTATATAGTAAGATGAATAAAGTGATCATAAAAATGAAAACTGAGTTGTTTTGGATTATGGTGGATAAAAAAAATTAATAAATAAGCCCAATGGTAAGTCCAAATGTTTTTGCCGTCAATTGAATATAGAACTATTCTCAGCTTCTGGTTGGAGGAAACATTAAAAAGTCGGTAAATCTCAGTGCTAGAAAGGGAAAAACATAGTTGTTCTTTGAAGGGAAAAAGGTGTTGTAGTTTCAGATTCCAAGGCAGATGTCTCATCTGGTTTTATCACATACTGGGAATGTTGGTTCGTATAATGGATTGTTGATTCATGTACTTTTTAGTTAGTTTCATTGAAAGTGAAAAAGTCAAATTATTTCTGCAGGGATCTTTGCAAAAATTTAATAATATTAAGACAATCTTTTCACTTTTTTTTTCCCCATTGGCGTTTGTCAGAGTAAAATTGCTTTTGCAACTTTTTGATATAAATATGGTATTGGATGTCCTGGTTTATGTAGCTTATTTATGTCACTTTATTCTTAAAATAACTTTCTGAAGGATAATTTGCTAAATTAAGGAATATGAATACATTAAGGCTTTTGTTATATGTGTTTATCAAGTATTAAATTCTCATATATATGTACTGGGAACACAGTGGCTTTAGAAGATAAGCACTGGACTGCAGACTGTAAGGTTGGCAGTTCAAGCCCACCAGTTACTCTGCAAGAGAAAATGAGGCTCTCTGCTTCCACAAAAACTTACCTCAGAAATGCGATATACAGTGTCACTATGAGTCAGAACTGACTCATTGGCACGTGACAGCAGCCACAAGTATATGTGCATATAGTAATTGGTGTATGTGGAGATATATATATATATATGTAGCACAATACAGTAAGTTGGGCATACAAGTCTGTGATAGTTTTTGCCTTCTATGAATTTTCGGCTTAATGGAGAAGATGAAGTAATTATATAAAATGTTACATGACATTATTTCCAGATATCAGTGGAATAGATGCCATTATGTAGTAGGATCCCAATGTATGTATACTTTACAAGTTGAGAGAGAAGAGAAGTTGTCTGCCATGATGTGCAAAAGTTAAGCACATCATGGCAGTCTTTGATAGTTTGTGGGATCTCCGTATTATAGTTACGGCTGAGAGAGATGTTCATACAGATCGTAACGTGCAAATTTAGGATTCAGAAATCTGATTCTGAATCTCAAGTGAATAGCTAAGGACTCTTAGAGGTCTTTTTGATATATTATTGTCCACAGTCTGGATTGGAGCCCTTTTTAAAAAAAAATGATAAAGGAAAATATATAATCACAAGTCAAGTCACTGTTTACATGCCTTTGATTACCTTTTGGAGCAAGTTTTATAAGATTTGTGGAAAATTGGAATTTAAAAGATAATGACAAATGACATTTTTTCTGTGAACTTTTTGAAGCCCCATTGTAGTGTGGACAAAGTTATGTCTTAGAGAATTTAGTCCATAAGAAACAACTTTATCAGGAAAGTACATATGGACAACCTGTAAATTTGATTTTAAATTACAGTTGTTAAGTGCCGTCAAGTCAGTTCTGATTCAGCGACCCTGCATAGAGTTTCCAAGGATCAGTTGGTAAGTTTGAACTGCCAGCTGAGTCGGTTCAAACCAACCTTGCGATCCATTGTATTATCCTGCAGTGCCATAGCATTTATAATTTTGCATTTTTAATTGTAATGTTTTTAATTGCGCTTGTATTCTATTTTCTTATTATTTTGTAGAAATCTTCTTCCTATCACACATGTGTGTATAGAAGAAGGAGAAAAGCCCATGGTGATACTGCCTTACATGAATTGGGGGAATCTTAAATTGTTCTTACGCCAGTGCAAATTGGTAGAGGCCAATAATCCGCAGGTGAGAAAATTTTGCCCAAGTATCAGTTAACCTGTAACTTTTGATAATATCCTTTAACGTAGATGTTACCATTTTAATCTGTAAACTGTTTTAAACTCAAAAAGAACCAGAAGATATTTATAAACTGATGGTGTAAGGGAAACTAAAGATGGCTTACAAGGGTTTGAGCTTACATGTTGCTGACTCTGAAATTTTTCCTTATTTTCAATTGTGGTTATTCATAATCACCCACCAAGCCCCCTGTAATATCAGCTCAGTCATTTACTTAAGAACTCTTTGAAGGCACTTAGACTAAATCTTCCTTCAGGGAAACAGACTTTACAGACAGACCCTGTGGTCCATATTGTACCAGGAACTGGTAATGATTAGATGTCTAGATTGTGAGGGATAATTTGGTACATTCTTAGTATGCTTGGGTGTCAGATTCCAGCCAACAAAGAGGCTCTGTCATCACTGTTGGCACACCTAACCGAAGCATTTAGACAGCTTTCAAACGCTTTTATAATGATAATGGTAGTAAAACCTAGTGTGTGTTTCATTGCTAGTTGTATCTTGTAGCCCCATTAAATTGATATCGAGATTTAAGAGTCTTGGTCTGGCACCATATGATAAGCACTTGACCTCAAGCTCGGTTTGAACTACAAGATCAGTGGTTCAAACTCACCAACTGCTCCTATTCAGGGTCACTATGAGTTGGAACTGATTCGACAGCCCTTATCAACAACAGGTACTTAGTACAGTTGCTGGGAGAAAAGACATTCAAAGACTGCATTAAATATTTGGCTGAGTGGCATGTATCTAGAGGAGCTCTTGACTTGTATTCATTTGAAAATGGTCCCCAGGGGATTTTCTCCTGAAAAGATCCACTGTTTTAAAAGCAAAGAACAAGTTTTTGAATTCATAAGCATTTGAGATCCAGGCATACCTTGTTTTGATGTGCTTCACTTTTTATAGCAACATGTGCTCACTTCATGTCTGTCACATTTTGGTAACTCTCTTAATATTTCAGACTTTTTTCCTAATGTTATTGTAGACTTAAGGACCTCTGGTAACGTAGTGGTTTTGAATTGGGCTGCTAATCTGAAGGTCAGCAGTTCAAAACTACCAGCTGTTCCGCGGGAGAAAGATGAGGCTTTCTGCTCCCATAAAGATTTACAGCCTCGGAAACCTGTGCAGGGTCACTATGAGTCGGAACCGACTCCATGGCACTTTTTAATTATAGACTACAGTGTAGTGTTTTATATGCACTGGGAAACAACAAAAAAATGCTTGTGATTCACTTTATTGTAATATTCACTTTATTTCTGTGTTCTAAAACAGAACCTTGCAAGATCACTGAGGTATGCCTATAATACCTTGAAAAGTCAGCCTTCTCTGAACAGATATTTGTGGGTCAGCTACTCTGTGTGCTGAATGTTGGGGAGATAATACAATACACCCAACAGATAAGAGAAGGCAGATAAGTAAATGATACATTATGTTACAGAATGGTAAGAGTATAGCATATTCTTGGTCAAGAAGTAGGTTTTTAGAAATTAGTGTGAAGATGTAAGGTAGTATATTTTGTGTGGAGTAGGAACGTGGGATAAAAATAAGCAGCACACATCATAATTTTTGTATTAACTGTAAACACTGTCACTTTGTGTTTATCACAGGCAATTTCTCAACAAGACCTGGTACACATGGCCATTCAGATCGCCTGTGGAATGAGCTATCTGGCTCGAAGGGAAGTCATCCACAAAGATCTGGCTGCTAGGAATTGTGTGTAGGTGCCATGAGCTCTTCTTTGTCATTTGATGTTAAGTGCTCCTGGATTTGGGGTTGTTTTCAGTGGATTGTGTTGTATTCAAGGGTAATTAATCAGTGATCTATACTTTTTAATTCTCTGATTGCATTTGCTCTTCATGTCTTTTCAGCATTGATGATACACTGCAAGTTAAGATCACAGACAATGCCCTCTCCAGAGACTTGTTCCCCATGGACTATCACTGTCTAGGGGACAATGAAAACAGGCCAGTTCGTTGGATGGCTCTTGAAAGTCTAGTCAACAATGAGTTCTCCAGCGCTAGCGATGTGGTAAGTGCCAGGACCCCTGGTAGCAATAGAATGAAGACAAAGACTTTGTTTTCTTATTAGTAATTGTTCCTTGAACTTCTCAACCAGAAAGCAAGTGTAATAATCTCTCAGGCAGTCAGCTTATGAAGAGTATCTGTAACCAAAGCTATAGGCCAGCATTGCGTGCCATCTTGCTTCATTCTCACAATTACTCTGCAGTACGTAGGCCCTGTTAGCCCAGTTTTAAAGGATGTACGTAGGAATTTGTTTTTTTACATGTCTTCATAATATTAAGGCCAGTCACTTTCTCCTTCTTGTTGGTTTGGGGTAGTTTTGCTTAGTTGGCCTGGTTGTGGGATTGGATCCCCTATGTGCATAGTTTCAAAAGTCACAGCCACTGTTTTGTAGGTATGTTAATTATCTTTAATTTCTGTCACCTGACTTTTTAGTCTGATATGGAAGACGAAGCTTTGTTTCTTTTCATATCGTTTGCTTTTCAACTGTATTATTGTAGCGCTTAATTAGAGGAAAGGTAAAATTTCTGCTCATAAGCTTCCCTTTGGTGGTCACAAAATGTATTCTTAATATACATAACATGTTTTGATTATTACTATTCCAACACACTGTTTTCCTCAATGTATTAGTTTCCTGTAGCTGCTGTAACAAATTTCCATAATCTTGGTGGCTTAAAACAAGAATTATTCTCTGGAGGCAAGAGGTCTGAAACACGGGAATAAGTAGGACTATGCTCACTTGGGAGGCTCTGGGGGAGAAACCTTTCTTGCCTCTTCTATATTGCTTGTGTCTGTATCATCTACTGTGTCTTCACGTCGTCTACCCTTCCATATTTGAAACATCAAAATTCCTTCTCTCTTTCTTAGAAGGAGGATACATGGGATTTTGTGGGGTTTGCTATGAGTCATAATTGATAACTGGCAGTTATTCCAGGATAAACTCACCTTGATAATCTTCTCAAGATGCTTACCTTAATCACATCTTATCCCGTATAAAGTAATGGCCACAGATTCTAGGTATTAGGGCCCACTACCCTCAGTAATTGACATTTTTTCTGTGATTTTCTCATGACAAATTGATATTGCAATTAAAATCCTTGAGGTGAGGAGAATGATGAGAGGAAAAATATCTCTAGCTACAGTTTACTATGTTCTTGTTCTTGTTATTGTTAAGTGCCGTTGAGTCGG